GGGGGCAGATGGGCCTGCTGGAGAGGTTGCTCTGGGCCTCCAGGCCAGGCTGGTCTGTATTTGAGCTCTCTCTCTTTTCAGGTAGCATGGACAGAACCCGGAAAGAGAACCGCCCCGGCCTGCCCACACATGGCGCCAAGGTAAAAGGCCTTGTTCTTTGCTCTACCAGTTTATCCTGGTCCCTGTTTGCGATAACCCTTTCTGGTCATCTCCACAGAAGGCCCCCTGTCTTCTCTAAGTGGTTCACCCTGCCTGTGTATGAGGCTGGGCAGCATAATGTATGTAATGCATAACAGAGGAGTTAATAGGTCTATTATGGAGGCCAGTGTTGTTCTTAAAACAGTCTGAGAATGTGATACTGTCCCCACTTCAGATTGCTTTAAGTTTTTACCTTCCATGGGTAGACTAATGGGGAGAAATGCAGCTAAATTAGGTTGTGCAAGGGTGGAAAATGAACTACATGAGTTACAGTACAATAATTGGTGCTTCTGTCTTGTCTTGTATGTCTGTTTAGATTCCAGCCCATATTGGGGATGGCCCAAAACGAGTCCCCATCTCTCAGCTTCCTCAGAGTCGAGTCCCTGGAGGTGCAGCCCAAGCACAACGTGTCTTGTGTCCTTCAAACTTGGCTCAGCGAGTTCCTGTACCATCACAAGCTCCAAAGGCTGCAGTGTCTAATCAGAAATCATCTCATAATCAGCGGATACAGCAGCCTCAGCCAACATGTGTAGTTCAGTCATCTTCTAGGCCTCAGGCTCCAAATAATAATGAAAAGCCTCATCATGTCCCGGTATCTGGTAAATAGATTCATTTACACATCTATCTCATCTTGATGTGACACCCAGGCTTTCAAAGGTTGATCACTAAACTGATTGACTGCAGCAAATTAACAGACCTGACACTTACTTTCTATAGATGAGGTTTGTTTAACTTATGTTAAACCCTGACTCTTCTATATAAGAGGATCACATTCACATAGGAAGATGGTTGAAATGGGTAGTATGAACCTACATAGGATTATTTCTGGAATAAAAACATTGGCCAACTAGCAGGGTGCTTACTACCTGCTTGTCCACATAGCAGAATAGTGACTAAAATTTAACAGCCACAGATGGTAAGGTATCTTGCTGATGGATATAATATTATAATAGTAGAAGTATTATTCTACCCAAAACGTGGAAACTGGAAAAGGCATGGTAAAAGCTGACAGTTCTGGCAGTTGTATTTTATGGGTTTGATTAATCAAGGTGTTAAAACTCTCTTTGTATGCAGTAAGCCAACCTGAAAAAGAAGGCGGTACTTCTAAACCAAAAAATCAAGAGACTAAAAAGTAAGTTGCATTCCTAGTATTTTTGTGTGTTAAGTGGGAACCTAGACCCAGAAGTCTAAAATGCTTGTCAGTGATATCAACTGGATTAGAATTTCACTCTTAGCATTTAAAGATAAATGTAGAAAAATTGTTTTTTAGTTTAACTATATTGGATTTGGAGGCCAGATCTTGATCTTGGTTAAATTGATACAAATCTTAACCCAGAATAACTCCATGGATGTTTTTACCAAAAAAAAAAAAAAAGAGTTCCAGGCCTTTTGTATTCTAGTAGTTTAACTATATTTATTTTTTCCTCTCCTAGAAGGCAGTGGTCTCTTGATGACTTTGAAATCGGCCGTCCTCTGGGAAAAGGGAAGTTTGGAAATGTATATTTGGCTCGTGAAAAACAAAGCAAATTTATTCTGGCACTGAAGGTGCTGTTTAAATCTCAGCTGGAGGAAGCTGGAGTAGAGCATCAGCTGAGGAGAGAAGTAGAAATACAGTCTCATCTTAGGTAAAAAAACAAACAAACCAACAAACCCCAACTTATTAGAATTGTAGTTAAAGATATGCTGTTTCAAGCAAGATAAGCAGCTGAACTTATTGCCTCCTGAATTCTATCAACTTAAAACAAAGTTTGAACTCATCTACATATAACAGAAGTCTTTATGCTTTTATACTCTGCCATGGCAATCCCTTAAAATTGTATCTGTTTTTAACTTACAGTGGACTTTACACAAAACATGTTTAAGGAAGTAATTTAAAAGAACTATGGTCTGGGGAGGAAGTCTTTATATCCTGTTGTATAAAGGATACAATAGAGAGGATGCAAATCCAACTTTCTTTTAAACTAACCTTACTGGATTCTGGCCTCTGACTTGCTAGGCAAAGTGAGATAATGGGTGGCATAATGCAGTGAATTATTTTGTACTTGAAAATGCTTCAATTCTATACATGCTGAGGAAGAGAAGACTTTCTCATTGCCAGTGTTGTTTCCAAATGGCATCTCTCCTGTTGAATAAATCTGGATATAAGGAAGAACACCAAATTACAAAAAGAAAAGTGTCTTTAACAATAACATCCTAAGACCCTCTACAACCCCCAGCATGCATGCCAGAGTATGGCTTGCATGGCATGTCACAGCTGGCCCCAGGCTCTGGGCACCTGCCATGGGCCACTCGAAGCAGACAGCTGGGAAGCTGCAAGCCATGTTGCAAGCAGCCTTGGCTCCATGGCTGGTAGCAGCTGCCTGAAACCCAAGCTGGCTGTGGCAGGCAGCTGGGGGGCAGGACTTTAGACAGCTCCATAAGGCTCCAGAGCCCTTGGCTGCTCCTGTGCCTCTGGGCATATGGCAGGGGAGGAGCTGGGGTTGTCGTGCCCCAGACCCCTCCCCCACCATCTGCCCAGAGACGCACATGCAGCTCCTGTCAGCAGAGGATCGGCTCCCCTGTGGTCTGCCCCTAGCATGCCAAGTAGGGTGTGTGGGGTCCGGGTTGGGGTGTTTTTGCCACTCCAGCCAAAAATGGTGTCAACCCCTGCTCTACAGCTTGGAGGGTGGGTAGGGGTCCTGCCTTCTTTATGCATGGGGACCCCCCCCCCAAGAAAATAACAACACCCACACCCTAGAGAAAATACTGAAGCTGGCCAGGCAAAAATGCACTCAAATGTCTCACTGGAGAATTTTAAAGAATCTTTTTAAAGGTAGCAGGTAAAACCTCTTTATCTAGATGAGCATGTTGTAAGCTGATGTCTTGTGTAAGCCTGAGGCCTGGGTGGGGGATATGAAATGACAAACACATTCAAGTTCATCAGCCCTTCATATTAAAGCTAGCTTGTACCTACATGATATCAACTGTTGCTGACTCAAGTCAACATTGGAGAAGGTGGAAACTCAGTGAAGTGCTAACATGCATAGCCTGTGTATGGATGCAAAAGCTTTGCTTCTGTTAAGATTTTTTTTGTTTTGAAAAGACATTCAAACTTTCTTGCAGACATCCCAACATCCTCAGACTGTATGGGTATTTTCATGATGCCACAAGAGTATACCTTATTCTAGAGTATGCACCTCGTGGAGAAGTCTACAAAGAGCTACAGAAGCTTACGAAGTTTGATGAGCAAAGAACTGCTAATGTAAGTTGCTCTAGTTTGCATGTACATGCACTCTTTTTCTATACCCTTTTAACTTTTTTCTTTCTTTACCTGTGCTGCAAATATATCAAATAATTGAAATACTAAGTTTGATCTTGAAACCAAATTTTTATCAGCAAGCCCCTGCTGAAGTAAACACATTTTTTAAATTTGGATTTATATCCAAAACTTGGAGCTCTGGGAGGCTTGTCAATATTGCATAATGACATACCTTTCATTGCTTCTTGGTACTTTAAAGTGTCTGCTGTAGAGATACAACAACCTCCTTCTTCTGCTTTAAGTGACTACCAAATAACAGGAGCTTAAGATGACAAAATGACTCAGTCAGAAATTAGCATTGTAAGCTTAGATGTAATACCTAGAAAATGCTTTATAGAAGCTATCCGATTCTTCTAAAATCATCCTGAAGGAGTTGCTACCACTAATTTACTTTCTTATTTAAACAGTACATCACAGAGTTAGCAGATGCTCTGTCATACTGTCATTCAAAACGTGTGATTCATAGAGATATCAAACCAGAAAACTTGCTTCTTGGTTCAAATGGAGAGCTGAAGATGGCAGATTTTGGATGGTCTGTGCATGCTCCATCATCTAGGTAAGAACTTGCATACCGCTCACCTAATCTCACGATGAAGTACAAAATTTCTGTGGTTCTGAATTAAGGAACTGTTATTGTTTATTTACTACTGTTACAATTCTTTTCATGGGAGAACATAACTTGATTGGAAATATGCAAGGACCACCAAACTGGCTTCTTAGTGGACCCAACTACTGGCCCAACTATTTAAGTCCTTGAGTCCTGGAGTGAGGTTCTAATGCATCATAAGCAGGGATCCTGGTTTTCCCCCATATAAATGAATAAATGCATGAATGCAAATTCTCTGCTTAAAAAAAATCACAAATTCTGATTAGAAACACCAAAATCTGTGATTTAAAATTAAAGCCCTCCCACAGCTCTCTCCGGCCTTGTTTGTGCCTCTTGCACTCTTTTTTTTCCTCCCCCCCACCAGCTTTGCGGGGGCCCCAGCTGCCAGGGCTACAGGGCCAGGGATCTGGGTCCACAGTCCCCTGCCACTGTTAGGAGGTGGTGGCTGCTGCAACAGAGCAGAGACTGGCTGTTCCCTGGTGCAGGCTTGGTTTGGGAGTGGGGCTGACTCCCTGCCATGGGGTGTGCTCCCTGGGGGGTAGAGGGGACCCACATCCCCCACATCTATGCACAGGGCAGGGTTGGGGGTAGGCATCAGTTGTGGGCTCAGATTCCCACCCTGCTGCCCTTTCCCAGGGCCTGTGCACCCCAGTGGGCACATCCCACAGTGGCAGGGAACAGCGGAGCTGAGCAGAAAAGCTGCCTGCCACTGGGTGCTCTGTGCTGCTCTGGTGATGCGCAACTGCAGTGAGGGTAGCAGGGGGTGGGTTGGGTTGTGCCCCTCAAAGCTGCGGTGCAGGCAGGGGGCGCATCACCGGGGCAGTGTGGAGAAAGCTGCCTGCGGCTGCGAGCCTGCATGAGTGGGCTTCTCTGCTAAAATGAGAAATCTGTGTTTCCCTTCAGTAAGATGGGAAAATCCATGTTCTACTTCGTGTTTCTGTGGGGAAATGGAAAACCCAGATCCCTGATCATAAACCATGAGTGACACCTTGCTGGATGGCAGCACTACAGAGAAGGATCTAGGAACTAGATCATAGATACAGTACGAGTCTGCAGTGTGGTGCAGCTGACGGAGAATGCAGTTTTTGTATGCATCAATAGAAGAATTGGGCACAAGACACGGGCATTAATAGCGCTTCTTTATGCAGTACTGGTTAGGCCTCATCTAGAGTATTGTGTGCAGTTTTGAGGTCTACATTTTAAAAAAGGATATGGAGAAGTTGGTGAGGCTCCAGAGGTAAGCAACAGAAACACTGGGTGTTGGCTGCAGCCAAGGCTGGGGATTTCAACCTACAAGTTTCTAGCTGGAGGGGCAAGCTCAGGATCAGACTAAATGCCATATTTGGGGTCAGGAAGGAATTTTGCCAGGGTTGTCTGATTGGTACAAGCAGTCTCTAGCAGGGGGTGTGGCCATCTTCCTTGGATCTCTCAAGCAAATCTTAACCCTTGCTACAGCAGGATGTTGACCCCCTGCTTTTACATGTGACAGGTTAGGGTTCTGTCTTGTGGTTGTGTTGACTAGTTTGTCTAATAGGTTAGACAATAAGTTTGCATAGGGTAGTTTAGATGGAGATGGTCCTGCTTCAGGCAGGGGGGGTTGGACTAGATGCGACTTTCCAGCCCTGCTTTTATATTATTCTAAGAAAGCACTTTATGATTTTTAGATTTTCTGTTGAAGCTGTGGCACTGTATGAGAGAGAATTCCAGTTCATTAGGCCAGAGTACAAGATTGCACATGGCTTAAATTTTTCACAGAATAATTTAAAATATTGCTGTGGCAGAAAAGTTTACCATGCTCACCTGAAAGGTGGGAGACCACTGTTCCACTTTAGTATTTCAGTGGGTTTCCTCCCACTTCCTTCCCACCCCAGAAGTGTCTCCTAGAAAATAAGGGTTTGAGTTCTCCCACCTGAGGAACCTAACCCAGGATTCCCACATGATGAGCATGAGTTCCAACCTCTCAGCAATGGGGAACCAACACTATTCTGCTACCCAGAGTAAAGTATCTAGGTCCCACTGCTTTGGATTTCGTCTCCCCATACTGTTGTTCTCTAAACAGGATCCTGAGCAGGAGTTGTTTATAGAGGCATCTAACTCTCCATGCATTGTATAAGAAGCCTCTCTACCCAAGTCAGGGCTGTGAATTGTGCTATAATTCATAAGTCCTTTTATATTTCCCTGAAACTTGCTCACAGGGAGTCACTTTCACAATAAGGGGCTAAAATTAACCTTGGGAAGCTCGTGCATTCCTAAGCAAAACTGGACATGGGTAGAAGCTGATGCTAAGAAACAACTTGCAGTAGTCTTTAGAAGCTGACAGCGCTACCCCACAAACACCAAACTACAGACTTTCTGAAACCATTATGTTTTCATTTTTAGGAGGACCACTCTTTGTGGAACACTTGACTACTTGCCTCCTGAGATGATTGAAGGAAGAACACATGATGAAAAGGTGGATATCTGGAGCCTGGGGGTTCTGTGCTATGAGTTCCTCGTGGGAAAACCTCCTTTTGAGGCAGAGACATATCAGGAAACTTACCGATGCATTTCAAAAGTAAGTAGTAAATAATCTCTTCCTACTTATCTTGCTTTCATGAACTAGACTGACTTCATGCCTTTTAATACTTTTTTTTTTTTTTTCAAGCATTTCTACCTAACAGGATACTTGCTTTATCTGTAGTAACGTTTCTCTCTCTTGGTGGGGGAGGAGCCTGCAGTCTTTTAGTTGTGTTTTAGGGGGGGGTTGCAGCTTCCTGTATGTAGTAACTACAATCCATAGCTACACTGTCAGTGGGACATTTAGTTGTATATTTTCTGCCTTCAGGGACCCTCTGAGGTGGCTGAGGTATGTAGTCATACTTTTAGGATTGTCACTATTTGCCTTATTTCATCTGACGCTTAGTATTTTTTTAAGTCTGGCTTATCACTGAAAATTAACATTTTTTCCCTCCCCCTCAGGTTGAATTCAGATTTCCTCCTTTTTTATCAGAAGGAGCTAAAGATCTAATTTCAAAGCTTCTAAAACATAATCCATACCACAGACTACCACTTAAAGATGTTCTTGAACATCCATGGATTAGAGAGAACTCTACAAAATTACCAGCTAGCAGAGCGACTGAGGCTGCGGGCAGTCGAAAGAGCGAAGCTAACAACAGAACGTAGTCTTAGCCAGGTGGCGATCCTTTTGTAAAAGGATTGAACAAAATGAGAGCCTTGTAACTGTGCTCATCATGCAACGAAGTCCAAGTCATGGCTTAATGAACAGTGCAATAACACATCCCAGAGATGCCTGTGGTCTTTGTTTTTTAATTTATTGGGCTGCTATGGGTGTCTGAAATGTGCAGTGATCCGAAGCTGAATGAAACACGAATGCACTGTGATCTGAAGCTGAATGAAACATGAACATGCTTCCTAGCAATTGTCGTAACAATTATGTTTGAATTTCTTTTTCTTGTTTTTAACTGTCAGTCCTGTTAACTGTGGTGAGGTAATTGAAATTTTAAATAAATAAACTCTGGTTACATGCTGGTAGCAGTTCTTTTGTGTGGGCGCATGTATGTGTGAAAGGGGATGGGGTGTTCAAATTATTCTGCACCAGTGAAGATGCAACAACTAGTTAAAGCTAACAGCTAAAGTTCAACCCCTTCTATATTTGAACATGTTGAGGCAGAGTTGCCTTGCTTTCACTATTCTTTAAACTGCATTTAAAACAGTGTCTTGTGCAATGAAGACAAAACTTTAGCCTGTAGCCCATGGGCCAAGTAACAGTACAGGCAATATACTTGGTTGTTCCTGTTGACTTTATTTTTAAAGCTTCCTAAATTCCTGTGTCTACACCCTGGGTTGGAGGGGTCCTTTGGGCAACATGTTTCCTATAGACCAGGTAGGGAACCATACCTTGGATATCCAGGGGCCAAAACAGAGTGGCACATGTGGGGACACTGCATGCTGCTCAAAACTGGAACTTGGCCCCCATAGCTATGCTACAGTTGCCAGCCAGGCTCCAAGCAGCAGGATCACTACTGTTACAGCCCAGGAAGCCCCCAGGTAAGGCTGCTGGCCCCAGCCTCCCCTACCCAACCAAGGGTAACCTGCCATGTGCCATGGGAGGAGAGTGCATAGCACAAGCATTACCCAGGGCCAACTAGTGGCATAAGTTGTCCTGTTAGCTGTCTCTGGAACCAAAAGTTAACACTTGTGTGGAGGTGGCCACTGTGTCCAAAAAACCTTTTAGTAAGCACTTCAGATGCAGGATGTGATAGGAATAATTTAAGTAAACTAGTGATGGTCTAAGGCCTGACTACAGAAGACAGACCCCAGCTGTGCCCTCATCAATTTTAGTGGAGCCTTATGCAGGCACTAGTATCTGCTACAATTCTATCTATAGTGTCAGCTTTCACTTTTCTAAAGTGCAATAGTGGAAGTTCACTGTTAAGCTACTGCTGTATGGCATACTATGGAATTTCTTACATGTAAGACTATTAATTTGAGACATTTGATTTCTGAAAGTGTTAAGTGAAAAAATTTTATTCTTATTTAAAAAACTTTCTACTGGAAAATGCCAAAGAAACCACCAGAAAACCCCCCAACCCATTTATTATATTTCTTCTAAAATTGGTATGAAAAAGCTTATTTTAATTATTGTTATGCTTACAGGTAAAGATGCATATTTGAACATATAGTCAAGCTAATCCAAAATATACTTTGTATATGATTATGAAGTAAACATTATTTCATTCTGAGCAAAAAGGGGAACACAGTTTAATTTCACTTGGAGAAATAACTACATTTAAAATTTCATCATACAATGTCTGTTTTCTGTTGGTGACTTTCCAGATGGATACTGTTTTTCTAAAGAAACCACTAAATCATGACTGCTTTTATAAGAAGTAACTTTGATAGACTTGAATGTCACTTGATTTCTTATTAGTGGTAATACACAACATACTGAATCAGAAGCAACAGTTCAGTCCATCATGACCATCTTAATCTGTATGTCTTAACATGCAGGAGTGTGGAAGACTCTCAATCAAGTACCCAGACGAATAATTTTCTTAAAAATTATGCCGAAAAAAGGTTTGTTTCTCTTTTAATTGAACTAACTACTGGATTTCTCTCAAAGTACAGTCACCCCTACAACTGCAGTGGTTATAAATTCCACCTCTCCCAATATCAAAGTAAAAACTTAAAAAGCTGCCAAACAATTAAAATGCTTGTGATAATGATGAAATTAGCCTACTATCCAAAGAACAATTTTTCCAACTATTTAGTTGGTCTAATAAAAGAAATCGCATTTACCCAAAGAACCTTGTCTGCCTATGTCCTTAGAGGAACACGCCTACAACCAACAGCCCTACTGTCCAGTTATACTCCAGTTTACACATCTGTGCTTGGCTACAAGGTGTTTCTTTAGGGCCATTCACAAGTTGCTTATAGCAGAGGTTATGATGGAGAGAAAGTTAGCACCAAGTGGCAGCTTCTCCCCACTCCACACAGTTGTACAGGCTTCCAATCCCTAAGAACCAGCCAAGCAAGCAAGGAGCATAACAACACTTCACGTGCATCAGATAAGGGAGAAGCAGGTACCATACTACAATCATCACATTATAGTTCCTTCCTTACTGCTAGAGTAATGCAACTACATGCTCTCTCCCAAGGTGCCCTAAGTATATGTGGTAGAACAGCTTATTCAGAATGCATTCTTAGGGTTTGTGGGTCCTGTCTGGCTGTATGATAGGAACATTATCATACAGAAAAAGATTTTTAAGCAGCATTTCTAATGCATTATAAACAGAAATACATATTTATAGACTATTAATTTGTAGTGCTCTCTCACTGGGGCATGGGGTGCCACTGGTTTTACTAAACTGCTAAAGAACATCCAGATAAAGCAATTGGGAGTGGGGGAAGGAGTCAATTATTAGATTTAGTAGGAAAAAAAGTTCTACATTTGGTGCCTAAATTGCTCCTAAATGTTCATTTGGGACAAATGCCACCGATTTCACAATAATGCTTCCTAGTGTGGAAATGTCACTATTTGATCAGTCTTTGGAATTTAAGGATCTGAACTAAACATTTTTTATTTACTATTCAAGTTGTTAATATGGCATTAGATGTCATGGAGATCTAGAAATTGTGGCTTGATGAACTTATAGCCATTGTAATTTTTGTACAGAATCACATTGACCTATAAGAGCAGTAAACAGTAAGCCAGATGGACAATCAAAATATTAATGGTTAAACTGAGTTTTTATGAATTCATTAGAAGTGACCAATGAAATATTAAAGGGCATTTCCACAGCAAGTATTTATGAAAGTTTAATATAAGAACCAAGTGACTAGCAGATGCATTCAGCAGGCAGCCACATTTTTAATGCATAGACTTAGGAAATGTATCTGAGGTTTCTTTCTTTGGGACCTACTGCTAATTTTCACTTGTGTGTATGTCATTTCCTACAGAGCCTGAGCCTAGCACAAAGGAAGTCTGTCACTAATTTCAATAGACACTGGAAGATGAGAGAGACAAAGTTACAGTCTGAAGTCAAGCAGAAGGCAGGATGGGTGCAAATCTGCCATGACTTTCACTGAATGATGCCCATACAGGATCAAATAGTGGTTCCATGGCTTCAGTGGACTCAGGGCTCCTCTCCCCAGAGTCTATAGAGCTCTAGCATAAAGGGAAAGATTTCTTTAAGGCCAATTGTTAATCAACAAGGGCAATAAATTTAACTGATGCTCAGAGTCCATGCTCAGATCAGAAACATGGGAGTACAGCACAAGTCAATGGTCTTTTTAGAATGAGTCAATATATTAAAATAAGAAAAGTTCCAGATATACAAACTGGGTTCCTTATATTTATATTTTTCAAAAGGGGAACTGACATGGTAATTTAGTATCTCCTTCAGGTAATAGCAAAGGAGAGGGAAAAAATGATGATAATTATAGCAATAAGAAAAAAAAAAATCAATCTTCATTTAGTCCTTCATATACATTATATATAAATAGTGAACTGTAGCAACTGCATTTCACCAAGAGAAGACTAAGGCCTAAAGGGTGAGCTGTAAGGATACTTAAATATATATTCCGAGTCTGCTCTAGACAGCTCGTTCATTGTCAAGCGCTTATTCTTAGCAGGAGTTTCCAGATACCATTTTACCAGAGTTCTCAAAGGAGAGGTAAGGAAGGGGATGAAAGATGGATGTCAACATTTTTCCAGAAAAGACAAAGTCAAAAATGCAAGCCCAGGTCAGTATGAACCTGGGTCCAAAGAGGTTTTTTGCAGTAGCACAGCAATTTTAAAAGCTATGTGAGTATGAAGCATTTCTAACATCAGGATAGCATCATGGGGATGGAGGCTTGAAGTAGCCAATTTTTCGGCAATACTGGACAATAAATGGTACAGAAATTAAGGTAATGCTGATCCGAACTGGAGCAAGCAATTTGTGAATAGCGTAGGCCAGCACAAATGTGCTTGCACCAGCAGCCAGTTTGGACTGCAGCACTGCTTCACTGAATCCAAGTTTGAAGAGAACTGCAGTCATGTCCACACCACTGGGGAAAGAAAGAGAAAAGGATTATTTTTAATAGATAAAAAGCAAAGTTGTGCCATTTTCCTCAGGTTTAAAAAAAAAAATAGTTCACTATTTGCATCCTCTCATAGTCTCTAATGGATTTGTACATTATCTGTAGAATAACAGTGTTAACATTCATCAGATCATTTTTAAAGACTCAGTTACACTGCATGCCCAATTCTGATCTTGCACTATGGATAAATTTTAAATGGAGCAATGTAAATGTGGGGTGGCCCTCACTGATCAACACTTGGTCCTGAAATCTTTTCCCACACCTAGAAGGAATATTGACGTTTTCCTTCTCTGTGTAAATCATAAAACCCTAAGACACTGCCCCTTGTCCTGCCCTTAATGACGTGGGACAAGAGGCAATGTGAATTTCACCCACAGAAGTAGATTGACTGTGTGATGACATCGCAGCACAGCTGAACTGCATCATTCAATGACATCCATTTCTAAATGGTGAAAGGTCCATGTAACATATAACAGATACTAACTATTCACTAAATACATAATGCAGTATTTTTTCTGTAAACCCATAACAGCCTTTGGTTACACTTGAAAAAAGAGCAGGTAACTTATTTCCAGTAAGTGTCCACTGTCCTTTTTAAAGTTAATGTAAAAAGTCAAATACTCTCTCCCTTACCCCCACTTCAGAAATAAACAGCCCTAGCTTCAGCCCCATACTCAGATCCCCCTGTGCACCTGGACAGAGGGAAGGTATTTAATGAATGCACATCCTCATTTTTCCTGTTGTCAGAGATTAGCTTCAAATACTTAGCTGCTCCATACATGCAATTCCAGCTGGAGTCCACGAGACTTTTGCATACAGAACAGACACAGCATTAGACCCCAAGCCAGTTCCAGAAGTAAAATACTACCCCAAATCCACACTTGCTGAACACTTTTCTTAGTAGACACCTAACATTACCAATACGCAGAGAGGGTACAAAGATGAGAGTACCTTGAAACAACCACGTAGAATATTCCCAGAGATACTAATGAAATTCCAATGTGGAATGAAACCCCAACAGTTCCATATTCCTTAAAAACTTTTTTCAGGTGCTGGGATTTGTCATATTTCTTGTTTTTGTCACCGGGGTCTATGGATTCAGGGGATCCTCTTGGGTCCTACATAGAGAGAAAATGACAATTCAGAACAAATACTCATATTGCACACAGCTTCCCAGTTAGCTGTCTTCAGCTATAGGTCAAGAAACCAAAAAAACTGTCTGCAATGTTATTGTTAGGCACTTTGGACAGTATGGAAAAATAACATACGTATATTAAGATGAAATCTGCCCATATCGGAATTAACATAATACAAATGAGTTTATCTGCCTCAAGCTTAATGCTCTGTATGGGCTTCTGCACTGGGCTGAGTTTCACTGTTAATTAACTGGGCCTCAGTTCTGCCCCTAACCCAATGCATGTCTATAGTTCGCTCCCACAGTGACTGCAGGGCCAGTCCCCAAGTTTGCATATGGGAATGATTTTGCTATGCATCTCAGCATTCATCCTCACGCATGAGGATGATTCTCAACCAGGGTGCCTTGAGATCTTTTCAGTGGTTGCAGGGTGCAACACAATGTTAGCACTGTTTTTACAAACATGATTCACAAGATGAACCCAGAGATTTCAGACAGATCCACAGTTAATTGTGATCTTTCTGACTTCTTTGCAACAGAAGAACTAGTCTATTATTTTTTCTTTTTTTATTATAAAGTTGCAACTAAAAGCTGGCATTTTCCAAACAGCGCCTTGAGTCTAAGAAGGGGGAAAACCCCTGCTACAGGATCCTGAGAAGCACAGTAATAAAGGAAGCACATTTGACACCTCAGAAGCAGAGATGTAGGCTGAAAATAACTTACTGCTGGAAAAGGACCAACAGCTTAAGCTCCTATAAACCACGTGTTGTGCAACGGGTACAAACAGGCAGAATCTGGGAATTGCTACCAAGCTACAGCAGTAGTCTGAGCAGTACTTTTCCTGCTGTAAAATGCTGCAAAAGCAAAACATAAGCACCCGTTTAGCAGCCTAATCTCTCCAGTAAGCTTCTGTCAAAGCATGCAGGAAATCCACTGCATTTCTCCTTGTGCTGGGCCTACAGAATAATGAATTTAAAGTAAAACTGAATGCTGAAAAAACAAAATTTCAGTATAAGCTGAAACCAACTGTACAGATAAACAGAGCAGCTAGCATGTCTTCAATACTGGCCCTTACTCCACCTTGACTGGTGTCCTGTATTAGATAAAGTACACGTTGCCCAAGACATAGGAAAAGAAAAAAAGACAACTTCCCCCTGACTTGCAGAGACCTTGCAACCTTTCACTAGTTACTAGGCAGTCACTGAGGATGCATAGGAGGAGGACTCTCATTTCTGGCATTAATTTAATAGTATTTGTGCTTGCCTGACAGTCAAGGAGACTCCTGCTAGAGCACAGGTATAGCCACATCCCACCTTTTCTGTGTTGACACTTAATTAAAAAATTTGCTAGTTGAACTTGAGGCACCTTCTCCTATTATTTTTGGTAGGACGACTGGAGACCCTCTGGGTTAAAATCCGTGGGGAACACGGCACAGGGGACACAATGGTGGGAGTCTACTACAGACCTCCCACCCAAAGTCCTGAGCTTGACCAGGAGTTCACCCAGGAACTGGCTGAGGCCGCATGCTCCAGGACCATGGTTGTCATGGGTGACTTCAATTACCCGGACATCTCATGGGA